CCTCATTTCCTTCTCTGTAAAGCTCCCTTTAGGGACATTTATGGAATTCTTCCGGATATAGGAAATTAGCAGGGAATGCCCTGGAGGAAAAAGTATTTGTGGTCTGTTTTATGCTTTTAATGCTGTTCAGGAAATTAAAGTGACTCTCTGCTGGGGTTTTGAACACATTTGTCTTCTCTAGGGTCACTTCACAGAGTTTTAATCCAAGAAGAAGCCTCATAAGAGCTATTTGAGACATAATAGTTGCCAGACACAATATGTAAACCCAATATCTGGTGTATCTTACGCAGGAACAACTGTTACTGATGAGCCTTTACAGTATTTCAGAGCTTCCTCTCGGTAAATGTCAGCTCGTGGCCTTCCTGCGTCAGTTTTCTTTAATGCTTCTTTCATGCCTTAATTGTTTTGGCTGTCATTTTTTATTTTATCTCGACAGAAAAGCAGGAGCACAGATTGGTTCAGTATATCTATGTTAGATGAATCTCTGCCAAAAGTGACATTTCTAATAAAGGAATATCGCCTCAGATCTGCTGAAATGCTACAGTCACATTCGCTTTCATATACTGTAAAGATTATTGCATGCAGCACAATAAAGAGCATATATTATGAAACTGAACAGCTTAATAGTGCTGAAAGTAGGTTAGACTGAAAAATAAAAATATATGCTTGTTTTAAAGTTGAATCAAATTAATCTTTGACTTTAACTTGCCAATGTTAAACTGACTTAAAAAGCCCCATTATGGATTTTTTTTAAAGGACCTTCCATGTAGCGCATGGACAGCTCTAAGTAAAGTGAAATATCCAGTTAAGGCTTAAATCTGAAAGTGGACAGTGTTTAAAACTACTGATTTATTCATAAGAGTCGACTCATAGTGCTTCAAATTAATCATCTTGATAACGAGTCTTTAGCCGTGCCATTTACATTGATACAGAACTTAAGACCCGCCCATTTGTTGCGCACACAAAGCTAGGAAAATGTCATTTTATATATGAATATTTTATATTCATATATCGCGTCTAAAACCTAATTGAAAACATGACGCATGCTGCTATGTTTACGGATTTAAATGCTTTTGTTAGCTTGCATTCCAATGCCGTTTATCAGTGCTATGGCACCATCATCTGTTCCTACACACGTTCAGCAGGTTTCAAGTTTCAAAATAGTTCATGTTTTGCCACTGTGTGGATTAAAACTGAATGTGTGTCACTGTTTTTACTTAAGAATAAAGCAATATGCTGGTGTTTAACTGAATTGCTTTAATGCACTTCTGCATTGTGCTCACACACATACCTGTCAACATTTATCTCTGAAAATCCGGGAGACCCTTGGGGTTAGGTTAAGTGGTGAGGTGTCTGAATAACACTCTTAAGAACTGGGTACTGTGCACTGTGGTGTTAGTAACTGTATTATGAAACGTATTTTGGGCGGCCGCTGCTATAATGCCAAAGTTGGCGACTCATGGCTTTCACAGACTGTACCAAAATGGGGGAGGACTGAGGACTGAGGAAGTTTTCTGGGAGAAATAACAAAACGGGAGGGTGGCGGGAGATAGGTCTGAAATATGGGTGACTCCCGGGAAAAACTGGAGTGTTGGCAGGTATGCTTACACATACACTCTGCACACTGACTACTTCAAAATTGTTGAAAAGCCGTGAACACAGTCAACCAATAACAATAGACAGGGTCATTGGACCAATCAGCACAGATTAGCATCTCGCTAAGGAGGGTTTGGGAACAAATGAATCGCTGAACGAATCATATGGGAGTCGCTAGGATAATTAAGTAAAAATGTATGCAAATTATAAGACAATGAAAGTGTTTTTTGACCCTGCATGTATATCAGACTGTGGTTAGAGACCCTTTTTAATGCATATTAGGGACTTTTTAACACACTTGACAAGTATGTTGTTATTTTTTTTTATATATATAATCAGGGTTTAAAAAGTCTTAAATGCACTTAAGTATTGTGTTTTAGGTCTTAAATCATTTTAAACAGGTCTTAATTTTGAAATAAAATTTGTAAAACTACTCAATCAGGCCAAGATCAATCCATCAACAATACATCTCACAAAACCCTCAAATTAAATTTTAATTTAAAACAATTGCACGATTTCTTGTGATAATACCGGATCATTAGAGAAAATTCTTAGTGTTTAACCCGTTGTACGTCTAAAATTTTACTTTTGGTGGTCTTAAGAGGGTCTTAAAAAGTCTTAAATTTGACTTGATGAAACCTGTAGAAGCCCTGATAATTCTGGGTTTAGCACGATATGTGAATATGTATGAGCACAATGCAGAACTGCAATACAGCAATGCAGTTAAACACCAACATAATACCATTTTTGTGTTTATTGTGTTTATCAAGCATTTGTGTTATGAGTTTGCATACTAGCTAGTGTATTAAACTAAGCTTAATTGTTTGTTCTGCTACTTTGCTGTTTGATAATATGGTTATCAGGCACTTGCATAGCTATAAAACTAGTTTATGTGCTAATCAGCTCACAGGTTGAACAAGTTTTTTGTAGTGTTTACATATTTGCTAATGTGTTAATCAAGCACTTGTATTACAATTGTGCATACTTGGAAGTGCATTAAGGACTAATCAGTTCTAAGATAGTTCTGCTGTTTTGGACCATTTTGGAGTTTGTTAATGTGTTAATCAAACACTTGTATTATGAGTATGAATACTAGCAAGTGTGTAAAACAAGATTAAGGACTAATCAGTTCACAATAAGTTATTTCTACTGTTTTGGACCATTTTGGTGTTTGTTAATGTGTTTGAATGTGTAATGTGGATGTATATGCTCTCTAGCTATAAAACTATATTATTCGCTGCTTATCACTTCACAAATTTGCTGAAAGTCTTACTGTTTTAGACTATTTGTATGTTGGTTAATGTGCATTTTAAAAACTGCGTTAATATATATAAACGTTATATGTGCGTTTTAATTAGTACACAAGTTGGGTGAGTTCTGCTATTTTGTAGCATTTGTGTGTTTGCTAATGTGTTTACAAGGCACTTGTATTGTTAGCATGCATGCTAGAGAGTGTATAAAATTAGATTAAGGACTTAGCAGTTCAGAAATTGTTAGTTCTGCTGTTTGTAAATGTGGTTTACAGGCACTTGCTTAGCTATAAACTAAATTATCTTCTAATCAGTTCACAAGTTGGATGACTTCTGCTATTTTGTAGTGTTTATGTGTTTGATAATGTGTTTATCAAGTTCTTGTATTATGAGTATTCATACTAGCCAGTGTAAAAAACTAGACTAAGGACTAATCAGTTTACATATAATTAGTTCTGTTGTTTTGGATTGTTTTGGCGTTTGTTAATGGGTTCAACAGGCACTTGTACTATGAATATGCATAGCTATAATACAAATTACTTTATAATCATTCACATGTTGGATGAGTTTTGCAGTTATGGATAATTTTGATGTTTGTTAATTTGTTTATCATGAACTTGTTTTATGAGTATGTATACTAACTAGTGTATAAAACTAGATTAAGAACTAATCAGTTCACAAATAGCCATTTCTGCTGTTTTTGGAGCATTTAGGTGTTTATTAATGTGTTTAGTAAGTGGTCTTAACTAATATGTACTTACACAGGAATTAATAGTTTGTCACAATGTACTTATTGTGTAAATACATGGATTTACTGTGTACTTATGCATAATTAAATACATGTATGTAACTACATCTGTAATTAACTTTTGTAATTACATTTGTAAATACACTGTTGACCATCCCTTACACCTTAACCCACCCTTAAACCTACCCATGCCACCAAACCTGTCCATGACCCAACCTCTATCCCAACTCAAAAGCACCACGTGTTCTCAAATACATTATAAACAGAGTAAGTACATTGTATTTATTTTTTTATGTAAGTACATAGTAGTTAAAGACACTTCATATAAAGTGGGACCTAAACTTGTATCATGAGTAGCTAGTATGTACAACTAGATTAAGCACTAATCAGTTCACGATTGGTTATTTCTGCTGTTTTGGAGCATTTTGGAGTTTGTTAATGGGTTTACCGGGCACTTGTACTGTGAGTATGCATACTAGCTAGTGTATAAAACTATTAAGGACTAATCAGTAAACAAATAGTTATTTCTACTGTTTTGGAACATTTCGGAGTTTGGTAATGTGTTTACCAGGCACTTATATTGAGTATGCATACTAGCTAGTGTATAAAATCAGATTAAAGACTTAAAAGTTTAGAAATTGTTAGTTCAGCTGTTCGTAAATGTGTTTTTTAAGCACTTGCATGGCTATAAAACTAATTATGTTCTAATCAGTTCACAAGTTGGATGAGTTCTGCTATTTTATAGTGTTAACATTGCTAATTTGTTTATCAAGCACTTGTATTGTGAGTATTCATACTAGCTAGTGTAAAAAACTAGATTAAAAACTAATCAGGTCACAAATAGTTATTTATGCTGTTATGGAATATATTGGTGTTTGTTAATGTGTTTATCGGGCACTTGTGCTATGAATATGTTCTTTAGCTATAAAACTAGATTATGTGCTGCTAAACCATTCACAAATTGGATGAGTCCTGCTGTTTTGGACCATTTGGATGTGGGTTAATGTCATTATCGGGCACTTGAGTATTGTGAGTATGCATACAAGCCATAAAACCATGTGTTAATCTGTTTGCAGATTTTTGGACTGTTTTGGTTCTGGTTAATGTGATTATCAGGCACATGTATTAAACAGTATGAGAATGCATACTATCTAGTGTATAAAACTAGATGATGGACTAATCAGTTCACAAATTATTAGTTTTGCTATTTTGGTGGTAATGGGGTTATCAAGCAGTTGTATTATGAGTATGCAGTCTAGCTAAGTTTCTGCAGGCAGATGTTTGCTTGTGAAATGAAGAGTGTGTTTTTCTCTGTCTAAAAGAACAGATGTGTGATGAGTTACTGAAGTGGAGAGGCTGATGCATGTACGAGAAACACTCTAACACTTCTGTCCCCTCTTCATCAGAATATCCAGTCGGAGAAAGAAGCACTGAAGGAGGGAAGAGAGAAGACGCCGAAGTACCAGCGCACAGAAGATGGCTTCATCAGAATAGGTGAGCAAGAAACACACACCGCACCTGCTGTGAAGAACACGCTAAATATAGCCGCATGATTCAGCCTCGTATGAAGCATGTGCTGGCCTAATAAAATAAAGCTCTGAAAGAAACAATGATTATTTTGAATGCACACACACATTCAATGGCCGTGAATGAGTGACGTCAGCTTGTTGTTGTTGGTTTGCTTTATACATGAGATGTTGTTTATGAGAGTATAGTTAAACACCTGTCTTGTTTCACCCTATTTTTCATGTAAATGCTGCAGAATTGGTGCAATATCATATGGCCCTATTAAAACGGCCTCCACAGTGTCATTCTCCAGAGAGAGCCAATGCCGCCCACTTCAGAAGCTGTTACATGTGAAAATACTCTGGGCTTTCTTAGTGTATTTCTCTTTCTTTCTTTCTTTCTTTCTTTCTTTCTTTTTCTTTCTTTCTTTCTTTCTTTCAGCTCACACTCCAAATCCAGAGAGAAAACCCTACAAATTCTGTATTTTTCAACCGTCTCAAAATGCTCTTGGAGCAAACTGTATCTCGTTTGTTTTTGTTTTGTTTTGTTTTTCTCTTACTCTCTCATATAAAGGGTTTTCTCATTATTATGTATGGAAGCCTGTGTGATTACTGTGCCTCAGGGTTTATTGAAGCCTGTCCCTCATGACGGAGCATTAGATATTTCACTTCAGTCATTAATATGCTGGATATAATCCAAACAGACGGTTTTGGTAACCAAAAGAACATGAGCAAGCGGAACATGCATATAAATTGTATTAAATATTTATATATGAAACAAATGTCGGCAACATAGTGATGCAGTGCACAGCTTGATCGCCTCACGGCAAGAAGGTCGCTGGTTCGAGCCTCAGCGGGGTTAGTTGGCATTTCTGTACTAAATGGGTGTTTTCTAGTGATTGGTTGTAGCTGGATAAGGCATCTGCTGTATAAAACTTATGCTGGATAAGTTGATGGTTTTTTTCGCTGTGGCGACCCAAAATTAATAAAGAAACTAAGCCTGAAAGAGAATGAATGAAAGAAAAAAATGTCAAATGATATTTTGTTCTACTTTCCTTTTAATTAAACAGTGTATTTTAAATGTTGCCTGTATTTTAAACAGTGTTGGTTGTAATTGGTTACAAAGTAACTAGTTTCTGTAATTAAATTACTTTTCCACATGACTACATCTAATTTTCAGGTAATTTAATTATGGTTACTAAGGGTGCTTTCACACCTAGACTTTTGTTTCGGAAGCTGTCTTGTTTGCCCAGTTAGCGCGGTTCATTGGCATATGTGAATCCAGCAATCGCGATCTGTGCCAAATCAATCGGTCCAAGATCGCCTGAATGAGGTGGTCTCGGCTTGATTGAAACAAACTAGATCGATTGTAGTGAGAAAGCAAAACGATCCGAGCCCGGCTATATCACAGTATATTATGGATATGTAATAGGCATATATGGCTATAAGAGAGAATTATGAGTTGGGCGGGATCATTCATACCGGTAAATATGCGTTTCATGTTAAATACAATAGTGAAAGCATGATAAACTTTTAACAAGAGCTGTTTTGTCATTGACCGAACTGCAGTCTAGTCAAGGGCTTTGTATAAGAGAGTCTTCACTCTGATTTATCTCTGGTGATGATGTCTGTGGGTGTCACCATTCAAAATGAGAGCAAAGATTTTCGCTTATAATGTCTTATTGCTAATCGCCATAAATTTAAATAAGGACTCGTGAAACCTGAGTGGGACTCTGCAAAATTAAACATGAAACTCTGACCAATGTGAGGAGAATTTACTCACACATGACTTGTTTTAGCTTTTTTGATCCATTTAGAAAATTTGCTGTGTAAAAACGAACCGCACCAAGAACAAAGAGCAACAATTTAACCATTTTAATCCCTGTTTCGGAACAAATGAATCAATTCACTGGTGTAAAAGCACCCTTAAAATATCCTTGCATTGAATACTGGACATAAATAGTTTCATATAGATCAATTCAGAGAAGTAGAATATTTATTTCGCTAAAGGAGACATTACTGAAGAAGAAAATGTATTATTTATCTAGATGACTACAGTACATGTGGAAAATAAATTAAAACATTAGTTCATGGCAAAATAAGGTATACATTCAGAGAGGCAGAGTAATATTTATTTAATTATATTCAGATGTTTTGCTTAAGTTAATTTTTTAACTAAAGGTTTTATTTGTCCAGCAATTGCACATGCTCAGCAATAAAATGTTTTAGAAATTTGTTATGTATCAAGTTAACTATTCCTTTAGCAAACTATGATTATATTGAGGCAAAAATCACTAAAATACAAACAAACCTTAAAGTGTGACTCACATTTTAAATAAGTTTGTTCTACAACAGTGGAGGAAATAAGTATTGAATGTGTCACAATTATTTTCAGAAAACATATTTCTAAAGGTGCTGTTGGCTTGAGATTTTCACCAGATGTTGTAAACAACCAAATAAATCCATATATGAAAAGAAAATAATTTGAATTAGTTTATGAAATTAAGTTGTGTAATACAATTAAATGACACAGGGAAGAAGCATTGAACACATGAAGAAAGGAAGGTTTAGAAATCTATCAATAGTTATTCAGTAACCCTCTGCCCTTTGTCATTATAAATCAATATTAGAATCTTTATGTCAATGATCCAAAACGCAGCCAAGGAAACTCTCAAATGCTTTCAGAGAAGGCAAATTAAGCTGTAGAATGGCCCAGCCAATCACCTGACTTGAATCCAGTAGAAAATACAAAATAAACAGAAATTTCAACAGAAAACACAAAATAAAAATCAGATTTGATAAACAAAACCCGCAGAACCATCACAAATTTTACACACTGTTGAAGTCTGTGAAAAAAAACTGACCAGTTTTTGTGACTTCATTGTACAGAGGTGGTCTTTTCAGAGAGGTGTCTTAAAGCTGCCATATAGTGGAAATATAGTGGGAAGTATGTTTGACTTTTTTTCCTTTTTCTATCGACTATGAAAATATCCTTATGATTGGTATTTTAATGTGGGATTAATGTTTTGTTCCATCAAATTATTTTCTTTTTGTATTCCCAACAGTTCAGTAAGATTTAATTAAGATACATAATATAGCAGCAGAAAGATTTGTTTTTGAGGTTATTTATGTTCTACTTATAATAATTTGTGAGTTCTGATAATTTGGCTTTTAATAATCAATGTACTGTATAAATTGTAAGTAAATTGTAAGATGATACTTCCACAATTCTTGCAAAGCATCTGCTGATTTTTTTAGCCCATCATTAATTTTTTTATTTAGCTACACTTAAAAAATTAGGCTTGCTGTTTGTTGAAAATACTTATTTAAATATGAGCTGAAACAACACAATTCTTGAGGGTTTTTTGGGGAACAACGTTATCCTTTTATGCTTAATCCACCTAAATTTGTGAAAACTAATAAGTTAACTCCTTCATATTGTCCCAACCAGTGGTGTAAATTAACTAATTACAAATATTCAAATTACCATAATTGAGTACTTTTTCACAGGAATTTTAATTTACTAAGTTGTTTTATAAATGTGTACTTTTTCTTTTTTTTGAGGAAGTTTTTAGGGCTGTATCTGTACTTTTACTCCACTACTTTCCTTCAACCTGCTGTCACTACTTTATTTTTCTTGTCTATGGGGATTAGAAAAATCAGTCCTGTGTTTCCTGTCCAGTCAAATCACACAGAAGTTAAATCGCAGCAAAATGAACTACTTCAAGACATGGGCGATTTACAATTGCAGTAAACTGTTTGGAAGCATTAAAAGTGTCCAAAAACATTTCCAAAATCTTTACACGCATTGACCCAAACACTGTTTAGATGCATGTCACTAATGAGAAGATGACGGATGTTTACTGTATGATGACCGAAATGGCCTTAAACACCCAGCAGGCACAAGGCGTCAACATGACATCAGATTGATGTTGTACCCTAACGTCGTAGGGACGTTGCATTTTGTTGATCAATGAAAATTGGGTTGATGTCCAAACTCAACGTCAATGTCTAACGTTCAACCTAAAACAAACCAAATATCAACGTCTAATGATGTTACAGGTTGATGTTGCATGAACGTTACCACTATGATGTCTATCAGATGTTGGGTTTTCGTTGCCATACCTGATGAATAAATGTCAGATGTCTATAAGATGTTGCCTCGATGGATTTTGGTCACTTTCTAACAACCTAAAATCAACCAAATATAAATAACATTTGACGTTGTTATTGGACATCAAAATAACATTGAAGTTTGGTCATCTGACATCATGGCCTAATGGTAACATCTTATGACATTGTGTGCCTGCTGGGCAATAACTTGATATACTACAGAATATTACGCTTACACACATCCACAAATTACATGTAAACGCATCAACTTTTAATAGTGTAAAACTCACTACTCACTACTTGAGTACTTTTAAAAGCTCTTCTTTTTACTCATACTTTGAGTAATATTTACAACAGATACTTTTACTCGCACTACATTTTTAGGCAACTAATGGTACTTTTACTTAAGTATGATTTTTCAGTACTCTTTTCACCACTGGTCCCAACACAAATTGATTATGACCATCAGGACTGTTCCTAGAGCTGGCCGGTCATCTAAGCTTAGTGATCAGGGTAGAAGGGCCTTAATCAGGCAGGTGATCAATCACACGATTGTCACTGTCTGAGCTCCAGCGTTCTTCTGTGGAGAGAGGAGAACTTTACAGAAGGACAACCATCTGTGCAGCAATCACCTGTATGGTTGAGTGGCCAGACGAAAGCCACTCCCTGCCAAAAGGCATCTGATGGACTCTCAGACCATAAGAAACTAAATTCTCTGGTCTGATGAGACTCAAATTGAACTCTTTGGAGTTTGTGCCAGGCGTTACGTTTAGAGAAAACCAGGCACCGCTCCTCACCAGGCTAATACCATCACTACAGTGAAGCATGGTGGTGGCAGCATCATGCTGTGGGGATGTTTTTCAGCAGCAGGAACTGGAAGACTAGTCAGGATAGATAAATGCAGATATATGCAACAATGTACAGAGACATCCTGAATGAAAACCTGTTTCAGAGTGCTCTTGACCTCAGACTGGGGCGACAGTTCATCTTCCAGCAGGACAATGACCCAAAGCACACCGCCAAAATATCAATGGAGTGGCTGCACAATAACTCTGTGAATGTCCTTGAGTGGCCCAGCCAGAGGCCAGAACTAAATCCTATTGAACATCTCTGGAGAGATCTGAAAATTGCTGTACACTGTCACTTCCCATCCAACCTGATAGAGCTTGAGAGGTACCGCAAAGAGGAACGGGCAAAAATTCCCAAAGACAGGTGTGCCAAGCTTGTGGCATCATATTCAAAAAGACTTGAGGCTGTAATTGCTGCTAAAGGTGCATCAACAAAGTATTGACCAAAGGCTGTGAATACTTATGTTCATGTGATTTTTTTTTTTTTCAGGTTTTTTATTTTTAATACATTTTCAACAATTTCAAAAAATCTTTTGTCATTATGGAGTAATGTGTGCAGAATTTCTAGAAAATAAGTACATTTAATCCATTTTAGAATAAGGCTGAAACATTAAAAAATATGGAAAAAGTGAAGCGCTGTGAATACTTTTTGGATGCACTGTAAATGTGTGTAAATATATACATTTATTCAGGTGTTATATTATTTTCAGTAATGTAATTGAATAATATGCAAATGCTTGCTTGTATATATGCAGATATGATGTATGTGCTACACAGTTTGTGTGTTTTGTGTGTAATATTTTCTGTGTTTTACTGGATATATTATATGAGAGGTTTACTTTTTTGTCAAACAAGTGGTTCTTATTGGATTTGCTTTGTAAACCTTAAATACTAATTATTATTATTATTATTATTATTATTATTATCATCATTATTATTATTTAATGTGTTTTATTAACAACACTTTCAAAATTATTCCACATAAATCCACAGATTTATTTTTTATTTTTCACAAAATTTTGCACAGAAAGTGTGCTAGATGTGTCGAATTTTCACTCAAAATGTATCATTGAATGATGAACACTTGGCACAGCCTGCCTCAGCTTTAAGTTCCTCACATCTCCAAAGACTTGTTCTGCAAATGTTTCAGCAGTGCGGATGGAGCTTCCAGCCTCTCTCAGTGTGTGTTTCTGTTGCTTCCTCAGGGAAGTTTGAGAACGGCATCGCGGAGGGGGAAGTGGACGCTTCTTTCGGGCCGCTGGAGGCTCTGCGGCTCTCAGTACTGACGGACTCTCCTGTGTGGGTGATTCTCAGCGAGGTACAGCACAACACAACCCTTGCCATCTGTTCCTCAAACACACTCACAGACTGACTCCACATACAGAGACACCATATGCAGAGAAACACTTTTCTTACACTTCCGATTAATATGCTAATTCGCTGCTTAGGATTTTAGATTGTTAATGTTTAAAGCAGTTGTGCTGCTTCATATGTTTGAACTCAAAAGTATCGTTAAATTTAGTTTACCTTAAATAATACTTCCTTCCCTTTAAAAAAAACAGCCAATAGCCAGCTAGAGTGGTTGAGCTCAAGTGCATCAAATGAAAACCAAATGAGAAGCGTCTTGAAGGGGGCGGGGCATGTGAGATAGTAGAGAGCAGTTGATTGATCATAAATTTAATGTGAGACTGAAGTAGGTGGCTAAAAAAATTTTGACTTAATTAGACCATGTCCACACTAATGCTGCGGTCACACTACAGTTTGAGCTTGCAAAATTGTGTCATACGACACTGCGAAAAGGGAGAAATCCAACAAGATGATTAGACACAATAAAAAAAGCGAGCAATTGGTCCATATTTTAAATTTCTGTGCGGAGAGGTCATGTTTTGATCTTCGATTTTATATTTATATATATAAATATATATATATATATAAAATCGAAGATCAAAACATGACCTCTCCGCACAGAAATTTATATATATATATATATATATATATATATATATATATATATATATATATATATATATATATATATATATATATATATATATATTCACATCTTATATATATATTTATATATACATACACATATTTCCCAAACACAGTTTAACTTTTTTCCAAACCCTTTTAAATATGATATTTTTAACAACTAATTTATTTTGTTTTTGAAATGTTGACAGTACATGTTCACAGTTTTTCACTAGTTATTTTTCCAATATATTTAGCTTAAAATGCAATTTAAATGCTTAACTAGATTATGAGGTTACAGGCCTTAATCCAGTCTTATGAAAAGGGTGGTTCTTTTTTCGAATTTTTTTTTTATTACGGTTATTTGGTTTATGTTCTATTTAATTATGACTTTTAAAAACTGCAATTTAGTAACATTTTAAGCACTATTTTTGCTGGATTAGCTTGTCGGATGGTCTTTAAAACCACACTTTTTGCTAAATATATAGTTATATAGCTACTTATTTTTAATTACAATGTGTTACATCATATATTATTAGAAAAAACAGGAGTTAAAGTTTTAAATGGAAATTTTTTTTTTTTTAAAAAGGTACATTTTGAAAGTTTATAGATAACAAAATAGCCTAGTTAGTATTAAAATAAACTTTATTATGGGCCACTTTTGGTGCTTGATGTTTTGTTTTCTTTCAGGAATAAGAACCAAGATTCAGAAAAAAAAAGTTGGGCTACTTGTAGTGAAAGTCGACTTCACTTTCATCATATTATGTGTTCTTGCACAGCTGGATGTTGGACTCATGAAAAATAATTGTTTGCATTGATTGGAAGCCTTCTTGATGGGTTATTTTCACAATTTATGATGACAAATGAGCTCATGTATGGGACTATAATGGAGACATATATATATATATATATATATATATATATATATATATATATATATATATATATATATATATATATATATATATATATATGTGTGTGTGTGTGTGTGTGTGTGTGTGTGTGCGTGTGCGCATATGCTGTCTGTTTTTAATGTTATTAAAATAGTATTCATATTCTTAATATTCTTAAGTAGGCTAATATTGGGAAAAATAATTAAAATGTTTAAAAATTAAATTTATTAGTAAAAAATAATATAAAATAGTTTTTATTCCAGCCAAACTAAAGGTAATTACATTCTCCAGAAGAAGAACATTTTTCTAGAATGTACTGTAAAGAAACTGTTGTTCTGTTAAACATAATTTGGGAAATATTCAAACAATAATAGAAAAACATTCACAGCTTCAGCTCTATATAGTATTCACATTTCTTAAACACTGTAACGTTTTCATCTCCGCAGATTTTCATCAAGAAAGCCGAGTGACTGAAGTTCATCAATACCTCATGACTTAAGCAGTTGTGTGGTGCAGGATTGGAGACTCCTCCACATGAGCTCCTCACAGCAGTTTCTTTAGCTTGGTCCAATAGCGCCAACTGCTGGCGGCAAGCTGTTCTAGCAGGGTAGAGAAGGCCAAGCCACGGCGTCACACAAAAGACACACAGCTCGCGCTGTCAGACGCGCCGCAGTGGCTGGAAGACGCTGTATTTTTTTGTAAACTGTATTTATATGTACATATGCCCATGATTGAGTTCCTTTAATTACACTGGTTTGTTGTCAAGGGCTTCCTGGAAACTCTGACATTCAACAAAAATGCTGCTTTTGGAATGGAAGACTCTTAAATTCCTACTCGAGGTTCAATCTTTTTTTTTTTTTCAAAGAGTTGGGTTTGTTGTTGATTAGTTGACAAGTGATTCTGTTTAGGCTTCTCCAAATGATGTATTTATATTATTTATTACGATACATTTGAAGTACACACAGGCTTATGGCCATGCTAGATATGTGTTTGTTTGTGCACAGGCCTAGCGTGTGTGGTTTTTTCCAAAGTCAGTCCAAACAATTCGTTATGATGATGAGAAATGTTTAAAGTAACTATTAGAGTATGCTGCAAAATCATTTCTTCAGAAAATTGAAGCGCTGATTTTTCTTGTGATAATTAAATCTATCAAAATGAACAGGATGGGGGAGCCTTCCGAACTTTTTTGTTGCATCTTTTTTTATTATTGTTATAATTTTTTTACTTTCTAATCAGGTAGCTATAGCCTATTTTTTCTTGCAATATGTTTTTTTCTCTCCTCCTCTTCCTGCCTTAATGTGACACAGTAGTGCGCTAATGTGGACATTTTGTTTGTTTGTTTGATTGTTTGGTTTTTTTTTTTACCTTAAAGCCAAAAACTGATATAGAAAGTTAGACAAAGCAAAATCCTGCTCGAGAATAATCTGTACAGCTCAGTGTGAGTCAATGCGCTGGTGTTTAGATGCTCGGTTTGCTCTCTGGTGATAGAAATAACTCAAATATTATCAGATGCTACACAGATCTGTCGAGGGTCCTGATTTTTTTATTTCCATGCCTTAAAATGCCATTTTCTGTAAGTGTTTAGTTTAGTAAACAGTTCAGGCATCAGTATACGGTGCTGTTTGTGAACTGGACAGTCGACGTGTTTGAGAAGATCTTACAACTGCTTTTCAAAAGGAGAAAGTTTTGTGCAGCAAAAGAACAGCATCTGACTTAAAACAATGCTAAGAATCACCATGTTGTTTTACAGCACAAGCAGAATGGATATAAAGCTGCTTCAACTTTCACTGGCTCTTCATTGTTTTCTCTTGATTCAATTGATCCATGATCTCAGATGAAAATGTAATGCTCCTGTCAAATGATTTGAATAAAATCAAAGTCCAAACTTGTCTTTGATGGTGTTTATGGTTTATATGTTGCAATACAGTCCAGTCACACAGAAAAAAAAAAAACAACATTGATCATTATAGGTACACTTATTGTGGGAAAAATATGTATTGAAGATGTCACCATGTTTCATAGAAAATAATTACTGAAGGTGCTGTTGATTTGAACTTTTCCACAGATGTTAGTAGCAACCAAAGAAATTCATACATGCAAATAAAACAAATCTAATTAGTTTACAAATGACGTTATGTGTAATAAAATGAAATGACACATGGAAAAAGTATTGAACACATAAAGAAAGGAGGTGGTAGAAAGGCAGTGAAAGCCCAGACAGCAGCTGTAATCTCTCAGTGGTTATTCAACAAAGGCTCTGCCCTTTGTCAGTCCTACATCTACATTAGCAGGACGATGTAGATAAAACCAGGGTGGACATTTCAGCAAAACAATGATCCAAAACACAGTAAAGTAAAGTGTCAAATGCTTTGAGAAAGCAAATCAATCTGTAGAATTGCCAAGATAATCACCTGACTTGAATCCAATTGAAAATACAAAATTAAAATCAGATTTGATAGATGAAACTCACAGAAACATCAAGATTTTTACATTTTGTTGATGTCTGTGGAAAAACTCACACCTGAGCGATTCATGTGACTTTATTCTCCATATGAGAGGCGTCTTTAAGCTGTCATCATCATAAAAAAAGCCTTTTATATAAAGTATTAAATGTGTTTCAGTGGTTTTCTCCTTGTCATTCTATTGTTGTTATGCGCAACTCATTTTTTAGATTTTTTTATTTTGTTTTGTTTTGTTTTTATGTTTGTATTGTTTGGGTATTTACCAAAATCTGGTTCAATCATGAGAAAAGCATGAAAGCATGAGGTGTTCAATACTTATTTACCCCCGCTGTATTTTAAACATTTATAAACTGTTAACAATTTCCTGTAGAATCTACAGTAACTTACTGGCAGCAGTTCACTATAGTACAGGGTGTTGACGGGGTCTTAAAGTATTAAAAATTGATAAATCAATTTAGAGAAATTTAATGCCCTTAAAAAAAGTATTAAAAAGTCCTAAATTCTAATTTACAGTGTATTAAATTTGGTTTCAGTATGCTAAAGTTTGCCTGAATATTTTTGAATATTGGGATGTTATGTAGTTTATGAAATCAAACAAATCCTGCTAGATTTGACATCACGCTGCTTTGTTTACTGCATTAACCAGGGAAACACTGTTATTTCTGCTGTTGTAAAGGCACCGCCTGCTGGATTAACATTTTTATTTAATATATAAATACAGTTTTAGTTTAGGATTCATTTCTTGCAATCAGTATTTAGCAAATATACTGAAAGTTATGAGGTCATGTATGCAAGAGTCTGAAAAAAGGTCTTAAAGGGCACTAAATTTCAATCTCTGATTCCTGTATACCCTGTAGTAACTTGCTGTAAATTCTTAACAGCAAAACTACCAATTTTACATTTACAGCATTTATCTTCCTGTTTATTTATTTACAGTGTTGTATATCTTTACTGTAAAAATATAGACATTTTCACAGTACAACTTTAAGTATACAGCAAAGTACTGCATAACTGTTTTACTCTAAAATACAGCTCATTACATTTAAATACAGTGTATGTTACAAAAATCGTTAACAGTTTATCTGAATGTATGTGGTGAAAAATGCTGTGGTAAAGTACAGATGCAAATAAAAACAATTCAGTACATTAATGATAAATATGTTACAGACTATACATTAATTCATTTTTTTAAATAAAATAATAATAGTAGAGGGTAACGAATTAGTAATAATATTATTTTATATTTAATATTATATCAATAGTTGTTATTAGCAATTAATTATATTTATTGTTACAAATAATTAATTTAGAAAAATTACTAAACATTGTCAAGTTTTCTTAGTTTTTTAACAGTAGGAATTTCTTTTCTTGCTTTTTTGTTTGATTTTAAAACGAAAAAATTAAATCCAGTTTTTCATAAAACTGTTCATATCCTCCCTCCTTATTCATCTTTGCTGTTTGATGGCTACATTTAGGCCCAGATTTATTGTTGACAACCTTTTAAGGAGAAGATACAATTACAAATTCTGAAATATGAAGGATAAATTTGACCATGGACCACTAAACTACTTGAAAAATACTTGTTAGACTTGTTTAGCCATAGCCAAAATATTTTGTAAAAAATAGTACTTTTCTTTTGACATTTAAACTAAATATAATAGATAACAAGTAAATATAAAGTTTCAGAATATTTTGTTCAGTTCCTTCTGTATATCAAATCTAAATGTGCAACAAAACTAATGTGCATTGATCAACTTTTTTCATCAATATTTTTTTGGTCATTTTAACCCCTAGATTGCAGATTTTCAAATTGAATATATTTGAATAGTTTAAATATTGTCATATACTAATCTAAATATTAAAAAGCTGATAATTATGACTAGTTTTGTGAATGTGAAAGTCAATAAAAGTCATGTTAAGTTTGCATTCTTGTCATCTGAATGCCTGTGTTTTTATTTATAACATGCCCAAGTTGATTAAATCAGAAATCTTTAAGATCTACATTATGTATGTAGTCGTCAGAGGTGAGTTTGCTAATAAACGGGTTAACCGGTCTCACTTGTCCAGCTCAGCCTCTGCCCTGAAGCCCATCAACTGAAGACCACCTGAAAAAACAAACATCATCTCAGGCTATCAGGGTGTGACTTAAAACACTACATGCTGGAATTCAGTTTCACTCGCATCACAATCGCCCACAACCAACTGAAACTCACCTGCAAACCCTATCAGCAAATTAGCTTAAAGGACAATCACGGAAAGTGTATTGAGTGTTTCCATAACAAAGGCGGATAAAGACAAGAAGATTTTACATCAAATAAAATGTCCTAAAATAATGTCTCGGGTTTATTATGGTCATAAATTTAGGTATAATTAAATATGTCTCCATATTGTGGCTATCATTGTCACTAAAAAGTTTTGTTTGGTTATCAGTATAATTCAGAATAGCTGTCAGTTTGTTTACACAGATAACACTGTTTTAAGTCCGCACAGAAATGCCAACTGGCCCAGCCGGGACTCGAACCAGTGACCTTCTTGCTGTAAGGCAACAGTGCTAACCACTGAGCCACCATGTCATTTTAATTATTATTATTTTATATTTATTTATAATTAAATTTTGGGCGTCACTGTGGCGCAGTGAGTAGCACAATTGCCTCACAGCAAGAAGGTTGCTAGTTCAAGCCCCGGCTGGGTCAGTTGACATTTCTGTGTGGAGTTTGCATGTTCTCCCCATGTTTGCGAGGGTGTCCGGGTGCTGCGGTTTTCCCCACTGTCCAAAGACATGCGGTACAGGGGGAAATGGGTGAACTAAATTGTCTGTAGTGTATGTGTGTGAATGAGTGTGCGTGGATGTTTTCCAGTGATGGGTTGCAGCTGCATAAACATGTGCTGGATAAGTTGATGGTTCATTCTGCTGTGGTGACCCTAGATTAAAAAAAAAGAATAAAAAGAAAAGAAAATGAGTGAATGAATGAATAATGAAATATATCTCCATATAGCAGACAGTGGTGATCCCCATTGTGTGTGTGTGTGTGTGTGTGTGTGTGTGTGTGTGTGTGTGTGTGTGTGTGTGTGTGTGTGTGTGTGTGTGTGTGTGTGTGTGTGTGTGTGTGTGTGTGTGTGTGTGTGTGTGTGAGTGTGTATATATTTATTTATACAGTTAGGAGAGAAGATTTTTTTTCAACACATTTCTAAACATAATAGTTTAATAACTTATTACTAATTACTAATTACTAATAACACTTCTATACAGCTTAAAGTGACATTTACAAGCTTAACTAGGTTAATTAGGTTAACTAGGCAGGTTTGTTTTGTAGACTATATATATATATATAGCTTAAAGGAGCTAATAATGTTGACCGTAAAATGTTTTTTAAAAAATTTTAATGAAATAAAAGAAATAAGACTTTTTCCAGAAAAAAAGATATTATCAGACATATTTTGAAAAGAAACTGACAGATGATACTAAGACAATTAAATTCAAGCAAATTATTGCAAAAAAAATTAATAAAATATACCAGCAAAATCTCAACAATTTTTTTTATTTATTTTTTTATTTGTATTTAATATTTTTCAATGAGATTTAGACAAATCTCTAAATGCTTTATAATCCCCTCTAAAATGGGTTTCATGCACAGCTAGAGTTTTATAGCCAATGATAAACTTCCGATGAAAGCTTAATGTGACTATTTTCAATTTTACAAGGTTGCTTTTACAGCACCGATTTTGTGATGTAATTACAATACATTCAGTTAAATAGACCAGCATTCATTTAGTTGTTCAAGCGTTAAACGAGATGTAAGACTTTAATGCAGTGCTTATTGTTCGAACAGAGACCCTCTTCATATCATATATCTAACAGTCAGTGAAGAACGCAGATTTTTAAAGAAACCAGATCTTGAATGTGACAATTTTGTCATTGAAAGACAGTTCACTGGAAGCGCTTGGGTTGCCTGGCTAAAAATTAAAAGTCCATGTGCATATAGCACATTAGCATTTTTCTCAGACTCCTGTGCAAGGGCGTAGAATTGGCATGGACGGAGGGGACATGTCCCCACCAATATCTACCAATTACTAAAATGTCCCCACCAATAATTTAATCACCTTTAATATAAAATAATGCTCCATCAATCCTTAGTAACCGGGATGTGAAGAAAGGTTTAAATTATGTACCCTTCTTGGGTCCTCCGGCACCCCAAAAAACAAAAGGACAGTGTGTTTGACTGGGCCTTTTTCAATTGTCAAGTGACTGATAGTTGTAGTCATGTTTGTATGTGAGAAGCACCAAAAAAAGGACATTTTCCAGTCCTCCTCTAGGACATAAGGAGCTACTTTTCAAAGAAAAGTGTAAGTCACTTAAAGTCAAGTGCACTAGACCACCATATTATTGACCAGGGCTATGCAGTTAATTGGAATTCAGTTTAGA